ATGATCAGATAGTGTTACCAGCACACAGACAAATGTAGCTTTAATCAAATGACCCAGTGCCACAGACGAAAAGAGAAAGACAAGAACAGGCTGTTGGTATGTCAGTCAGAGCTGTAGCCAGACACTTGAATGGCCACAACTCCACCATTTGTCATCTAAGAAATCTTTTAAGACACTTCTGGATGGATGTGTCCAACAATGTGATCCTGCCCTTCAGCAAGAGTGGCACAACATCACCTCATGGAGTTGCAGATGTGTAAACTATGCAAACATGGACACACCAGCTTGTGAATTTTGGTCTGTGAGCCCCCTCTCTGTCTGCCCATTATCTGTTTGTTTCATGACACCCATTCAGTTGTAGAGAAGCTGTGTGTTTGGACAGCAAATGTTTATTCCTGTGTGTCAAAAAGAAACAAGTGGAATTTAATAGAATTTTACATGTTGCATTTATATTTTTATTCGGCATATTTATTCATTTTGTAGTGTTTTGACATGTCCATATGGAGTTATTCAACACTCAAATTGCATTTTCTCTGGCAAAGAAAACATTAATTATAGACTTGTTTTTATTTAATAGCACTTTTGGAGGGTTATTTTCTTCTTATTATTATTATTATTATCATTATTATTATGTAACGGCAAGAGACTGTGTGTGTGTGTGTGTGTGTGTGTGTGTGTGTGTGTGTGTGTCTGAAAGTAGGTCAGGGTTTCAGGGTTTCACCCGAGCAGCACTCTGATGTATGTTGTCCTTTATCCAAGTGGGCGTGTCTTCATGTACTGTAACCAATCGCCTGTCTCCATTTTGTGGTGGGCGTGTCTTACGCTCGGTGCCCAGAAACCGAAGCCAACCAGAATCAACAACTAAGTTAGCTTGTCGGCTAGCTGGGAACTTCTGGTATGCTTCTATTTCACAAGCGATTTAAATATCTAATTCGGCTTATTTAACCATTTAAATGTACAAAAGTTTGAGAATGTAGTTGTCATGTTACGCCTGTGGTGATTAATTAAAATTTCGTTTTCCATTTTGAATGTTAAAGGTTATAATAGCAAGTTCGATGTTGGGTTAGCATTAGCTAGCCTGCTCTGACAACCAACCTAACTTTCTGTCTTTGCTAATAGCTAAAGGTTAGCTAGTGGAGCCATGCAAATGATACGAGTTAGTTTATTTATTGTTTCTGTTTTTGGATTATTCCTCTTGTAGACATGGCGTCGTCAGTGGCGACAGAACCAGCGTTATGCCCAGGTTCAGCACCAGCCGCAGAGTCCATAGTGCCGGCTTGTATGTTTGCTCCGGACCGGGGATGTGCCGAGGATCCATCCGGCGGAGAGGGCTTTGAAGACGGCGAGGGTACAAACGGAGAGTCCGCGGATCATTTAGATTTAAGCAGCAAGGTGGGCCTCATTGGGAATTGCAACTAGTAGCGTTGAGTTTTGAGATGTTCCAGCAGGGCTGATATTTCTGTTGTGATCCTGTTAACTTCTGTGTAGTAACAAAGTTGCTCACATCGCATTTTGTGCTGGCTGTGCACAACACCGCAGAGTGACACGTATATTGCTCTGCGTATGTAACTGCATCCAGCTGGCAGGTTCCCAGACATGGGATATATGAAATGTATGCGCGAACTGTGCAGTCGTTTGTATATTGTGGAAACGAGCAGCCCCAGGCATCAGGCTGAATCAGCAAAAACAAAACTTTACTGACTGATTTGCAGAGCAACACCAGCCTAAACACAAACGCTGATTACCTGCTGAAGTAGTGACTTCCAGCCACTCCAAAGACTTGTTTGCCCCTGTGTTTGCTCTGTTTGATCTTTCCAAATCTTTGTTTTCTGTCTCTTCACCTGTCTCTCACCTTCCAGCTGGTCCTTGTGAGTCCAACGGGGGAACAGTATGATTCATTACTACGACATTTAAGGGAGCGGATAGACGAAGGCTGCGGAGAGACAATCTATGTTGTTGGCATGGGCTCAGGTAAGAGTTAGGAACTTTCAAGGAACTTAAGGATGACGCCTTTACTTGTACGTAGCCAAAAAAATAAAAAAGCTATTTCAATATCTCGGTGTCACCATGAAGCTCTGCAAAATCAACACTAAGGATTTGCTTTTTTCTGAAAAACTTGTATTTGCTCAATTGAAGAGTGGAGGAAACTTGTGTTCTTAAAGACCATATGTTGCATAAAGTTGGCGTTACATTGTCCTCATACAGTGAGGAAGGAGGAAATCCATTTGTTAGGAATAGATGACAGGACTGCACCTTGGCTCGGGGGTTAGCACCTTCGCCTTACAGCTAGAAGATCCCCGGTTCAGGTCCCGGTTAGGACGCCTGGGATCTTTCTGTGTCCTAAAACATGCTGAGGTTGATTGGTGATTCTAAATTGTCCACAGTGTGCTTGTGTAGCGGGCTGGGATAGACTACAGCCCCCCCACGATCCCAGTGAGGATTAAGCGGTGTATAGATAAAGAATGGATGGATGGAATACATGACAGTTGAAAGTCTTAGTTGGTGGATGCACAAGATTGGACAGTAAAGTAAGATACCTAATAGCCACTGCTCTCAGCTGTGGTTAGACTCTTACTAATGTTGTGCTGATAGTTCGTTTACAATCATGATAATAATTTGAATTAATCAAAATGCAAAAAATGCTGCATCAGCCACTCTATCTGCACGGAAATCGCTTCATCACATAAAATACACCTATTACAATCTTCTTATATTCATATTGGTTAAAACATGGTATGATTTTTTGCCTAAGACTTTAAAAGATAAAGATCACTGATTACTACTTTGATATAAACTCAAGATTTGCCACTCATGACTAGTCAGAGAATTCTAAAAATCTCCTGTCTGCACCTGGTAACTTCTATCTTATTGAATACTACGAGGGGGTATGTTGTAGTTCAGCTTGGTCAAAAAAGTCATTGGTGTATGTAGTGAACAGATCCTATAGATGGCACCAAAGACTTTCAATATTTTAGCAGGCACATTGTTTTTAGAATAAATTGAAACCTCAAAGGCAAAGAAAAAAAATAATCTGCCATGATGTCGTGGAAAGCCAGTGCTTATTTTCGACTTTATTACCTCTGGCTCCTGGAAAATATAGTTAGTGCAGCCTCACTAAACATAAACACACATTTATACACATATAGACTAAGGCTATGGTATATATTGTTTCATATCCATATAAATTGTTTTGGGAAAGTCATTTTTTTCCGTATACCTAAGTAAAAGCGAAGCCACCATTGTGAAGCCTCACTTCTGTTGGCTTGTGCCTCCCAGGCAGCTAATCCCATTTGTTTGCTGTTGAGTTTTCATTCTGAAACCCTCTGCTCCACACACAAACACGAGGGCCTTTGTTGGCTACCGGGGTTATTTTTTGCCTGTTACAGCAGCATGTGTGACCCATGTGGCCCGTTGAAGAGGTCAGAGTGCATGTGTGAAGGGGTGTCATTTATCCTTGCTCAGCACAGGGACTGTCACCAGTTCAGTAGTACATGTGTCGGTATTCATGACCGTCTGCCTGGCTGGACGAGCAGCTGACCGGCCTGCTGACCTTACTGGAAGTCGGGGTTTCTCACTCTCGTACAACCAAGCAGTAGTGGGGTTTTTGTGGTGTTTTTATTGAGATAGACAGCAGCTGTTGTGGCTACTTTCACCATAAAGTAACTGGTAGTGAGTGATAATGTGAGTTTATTTCCCTGAGAAAATATATATTGGATAAATAGGCTTCGTTTGAAATGTACAGTTACATAAAGATATGTCTTCAGTGCTGTTCTTGGACACCGTGTGAAGCTAACTGGTTGTGATTAAGTCATTTTGGGAATCATTATGTTCACAGTAATTGAGGTTTTCTCATCTCTGCACACCCACTCCGGGCTTTTCTACACACCAGCTGTTTTCTTTCTTCTGTAAAGTCCTTTTCTGGTGTGGTATTTGTCTTTCTGGTCACCGCCCTGTCATATTGCATGTTGGTAACCTTCCTTACATTAAAGTTTACATTCCATTAAAGACATTAAACATTAAAGTTGCTAACATTCCCAGGGAGGCATTACATTAGCGCTGACATTCACCAGACATTCTAAGAAAGACTCTCTGCTCTCTGGTACCGAAAAAAGACAAATATTAAAAAGAAGATGTGTAATAGGGCCGTCCCTCTCTGTCCTGCATCACTGTAACCCCCTGTCCTACCTCCTCCTTCCTGTTTAGATGGAGGTGACTATGGTCTGGATGAGAAGGACATGGAGGCATCGGTAGCAACCGTGCGCTCGCTGTGTGAACAGATTGAGGCTGACCTAATCCTGCTGAGAGAAAGGACTGACACTGGCGGAAAGATCCGGGACTACCTCATCCGCCGGCGCGTGGGCGAGCAGGATTTCCTGGAAGTCAGGTATAGAGCGTAACAAGAGATTCTGTGAAGGGAGAAAGTGTGTTTTGAACTGTTGTCTACCTCAGCTGCTGCTGTTAAGGTCCTCATTAGTGTGACTCTTAGGGTTGGGTTCTGTGTTTATATGGAGTGAGTGTAAATATCGTTTTTTTGGGGGCGAGTTCTGTGTGCAGTTTTAAAGTCCCTTTGCACAGAGAGTGTCCAGAGTTCTGCACCTGTTTATGCATCGCTCAGATGTTTCCAGAACTAAAAGAATTTGTCCTTCCTTTAAATCAGGGGCATCAAACTCATTTCCATCCCGGGCCACATAAGCTTTATGTTTACCCTCAAAGGGCCGGCTGTAACTGTAAGACTGTATAAATGTAACGACTCCTGAACATATTGTTAAATAATTGTCTCTGCATTTAATTATTATGTTTCTTATGTACAAATATTGTGCATGCATTTACCTAGAAGTAAAGTATATGTTGGCACATTGCTGCGTTATTACAACATTATATTAAATTATATTATATTACGTAAATCCCATTAATTTATCAGATGAGGAAACACCCATCTCCTGCAGGCCACATAAAATGACATGACGGGCTGGATTTGGCCCGCGGGCCTTGAATTTGACACGCGTGCTTTAAATCTTCCTGTGCTTTGTTGTCAACAGAAAGCTTCTCTCTTATATGCTCATGATACTAGACGAGCCACCGCTTACAACAAAACCAAACTGGTAACCCAGAAGAATGGCTGAAAGGATTACAAACCCTGTCTCTTTAATGCAATCCTTCTATTTAATGCAATCCTATTTGTTTTTTATCCAAAGCACAAGAAGAATGGAGCCAATTAATATGAAAAAAACAGAATGTTGAACTAATAACATTGCAGTGAAAGGTCCGTATTTAAGAAACAATTGCATGAATGTTCAACCCTTCATTAGTGAGAGTTCATATATTTGTTTTTAATGACAGACTGTACCCTGTTAGTGGTGGATGATACCAATCTTGCATCATCTGTGGACAGATGTTGGGCCGTTCTTCACTTGATTAAGCTTTCAGCCGCTCTTTGCTGCAGGACTTTGGATTCTTTATCTTCCACCGGCAAATGCTCTTAACGTGTTTTTTATTGAATTCAAGTCAAGGAAATACTTGGGCAGGTCACAATTTGCACCTTTTTTTCTCTAGTCCAATATTCATTAGACTTCTTTCAGTGTTTTTTTTTTTTCTTCACTTTAATCTTGCAGCTTTGTGCCATTTTGTGAACAGTAATTTTCTTCTTGGACACCATCTGTACAGGCTGACTTCATGCCTTATTCTTCATACTTTCTTAGACCAGATGTCCCTGCCGCTAAGTCTGAAGCACTTACATGTTCAATGCGAGGCGGCGTAAACGGCAAACGTGTGTGCCATCATTTCCAGAGCAGGGCGGCTGCACTTTGTGTATAATTCTTCCTATATCTCCTAACAACTGCTGCAACTGTGTTTCAGCTTTTGTTCAGTTGCCTGCAGACGTTGTCGCACCGTTTCCCATCTTTACAAGGTCTCACAATCTGTTTTCTTTGCCCAGGCAGTTGTTTGTTAACCAGCCATGTGACATTAGACACAACTCGGGCCAAAACTAACTTTGTTCACACATTTAACCGTAATCAGAGATTGTGCGTGTGATCGCTTTTGTTTCCGTGATCACAGGTGTACTCGGTGTTGTTTTGCTTTTTGTACTGGGGCTCGTATTTTCAATATATTCCATCTAATCTGTTTGTTTTTCATCTTACATAACATAAAATACCATCCGCTTGTATCATGTGCTCACATCCATGACCAGGGTGTTGTCTTTCTGGTGTTGGCGATATGAGCACATGCGATTCCAACATTAATTAAATTACATTTACTCGTTCATACAGTGGTTTGACAACATTGTCTTAAGTGGATAAAAAAATAAAGATTTTCTGCAGCCTTGTTTGCGACAGTGACAGATTATGGTTTATTACAGCGCAACCCTTTGTTGTACCAGACGCTGCTGCTGCTGGCAGTATTTATATTATTTCGACATGTCTTTACCATATGAGGTCTTCTGTTATTTGGATTCTGTCTATGTGGGATTGGATTTAGAGGATTGAACGTTATTTCTTCCTGAGTTTTATGTTATCGAGCTTTAATTTAAGTAGGTTATGCTGAGACGGCGACAGAATGCTACAATCAAATTTAATAATACAAGAATAGATAGAACAGATATCTCCGTTTAAGCCTCTGTCTTTATTTCTCACTCTTCATCTTCTGCTATCTTGCCTCCAGAGTGGCAGTTGTGGGGAATGTAGACGCTGGAAAGAGCACCCTGCTGGGGGTGTTGACCCACGGCGAGCTGGACAACGGCAGAGGTTTCGCTCGCCAGAAGCTCTTCAGACACAAACATGAAATGGAAAGCGGCAGGACGAGCAGCGTGGGCAATGATATCCTGGGCTTTGACCAGGAAGGACAGGTGAGCTTCTGCCAACTTAAAAAAAAAAAAATATCCCTAGTGATTTTAGTTTAAAGTTGTCTGAATTAAATACCACATATCAAAAACATTGCTTGAAAAAAAGGCAATATTTTGGGGTAGTTTTTGTGATTTTTATTACAACTTAGTTGGTGTTGCGTTCCTGCTTGCAGTACGTAGCTCATCTGTCAATGTGGAAGAACTCACAAGAGAGTGAATGGGGGTGAAGAACAAGGTATTTATTTACAATAATTGAATAAATTAAATGAACAACAAAATGAAGGTTTCAAGAAAAGTGTGGGGGGAAGGGTCGGCTGTGGGGTCATGCCAAATCAAAGAAATAAATATAATAAAACAGGACCTAACTCAACTCTTTCTGAATGAAAAGAAAATGAAAACAAAAGGCCTGGCTGTCTTATCTAGAAGTGATAGGAACACAAAACGTACACGGTGGCAACAACCCATAACCTCATGCATGTAACAAAGAGAACTACATGTATAGGGTACCCACTCTTCTCTCAGCTGCACCTCCTTCCCACCACAAACCTTCAAAAGCTGACAACAACATGCAAAATGACAGCAACAAGAGGCCGAGAGTGAACAAAGGAGCATGAGGGCTTATAAAGGAGAATCCTCCACCCGATTGGACAACCAGCCAGAGCACGAGCCAATCACCCACTCCTCAGGAGCTCACAGGTGGCAGTGGCAGGAAATCCGCAGGTTTTGCTCATCTTCCAATAATCACCTGTAAGAGAGAGGTGGAGAGGGAGAGACACACACACACACACACACACACACACACACACATACACACACACACACAAATACACAAATCCTCCACTCTGCACGTAACAGTTGGCTTTGTTGATTCCTTAGAACTTACGCCATAGATACATAATATTACAAAATGTGGGAATAGGTTTCACATCTCTCAGAGATTCTTGTGTTGTTAATATGTATTTCTTTTGTTGTTGTTTTTCTTTTTACACCAACAACCCAGTTGAACAGTATGCATTTTTCCTGCCTAAATGGCCCCTCAGTATAATTTCTGAGCTTGAGATCAGCAGCAGGTGTGTTATGAATAAAAGCCTTCGATTCAGATGAAAGAAAATTGACTTCTGGAGGGAGTCTTGGAGAAACGTATTTCTTCTCTCTGTTGGAGTTTTATTTTACTCTTTTTTTTTTGATTTACTTCACATCCTCTCTAAGTTATCTTCTGTTCTGTCTTCCGCTGTTTGTTTAGGTGGTAAACAAGCCAGACAGCCATGGGGGAGGCCTCGATTGGACCAAGATCTGTGAGAAATCCTCAAAGGTCATCACCTTCATTGACTTGGCTGGCCATGAGAAATATCTGAAGACCACGGTCTTCGGCATGACCGGACACTTACCGGATTTCTGCATGCTCATGGTGAGAAGCAGGATAGGAGAGACAGGCCTGTGTGGTTGGTTTTAATTGTAAATACACCAACCCAGTGACATCCTGTTTAGCATTCTGTTCATGTGCGTGTTTGATTTTCGGTGCTTCTGACCTCTTTGCGTATTTCACCACCTGTCTCTTTGTTTCTCTCAGGTCGGCAGTAACGCTGGCATCGTTGGCATGACCAAAGAGCATCTGGGTCTGGCCTTGGCCCTGAATGTGCCAGTGTTCGTAGTGGTTACCAAGATAGACATGTGTCCAGCTAACATCCTGCAAGGTAGAGAGACATACATGAGAGACGTATCAGTGGTCAATAGAGCTGCAGAGCTTTTAGTAAATAGCTTCACTAGTTACGGTGAATTGTCCCACATGGTCACAGTGCTCAGGTCCGTTATCGGTCAGACTAATGCCTCGCGTTGTAAATTCAGCATAATTTACATTCCCACAGCAGTGATAACATCATCGCAGCAGCCATACCATCCACACCGTTTTGTAGTTAAAGACTGTTCGCAGACATTAATTCCTTCTATTCGCGACTCGGCCGTACTTTAATGATGTTAAGTTAGTGTTTATGAAACTCAGCACTTACCCGAGAAGCCTCTCCGGGAAGGAAAAGGAATTATATCACCTTAACTGCTGGAAGGGTTTTCAATGTGAAACTAAAGGAGAAAGAGTCGAGTTTGCATAAATGGCAAGCCACTGGAAGAGCAAATAAACAGAGCAAATGGGAGTAATTACGAAAATGTTGAGTCTCCGTGCTAAAACATGATTAAATATGCTTTTAAAAACGCAGAATTACAAATACAGGGCTTTCTCTAATAAAACCCTGCTTCTCTCTCCAAATGCGTACTGTTTAAATTGAGCTTATTACGAAGCGTGCATGTCCATTATTTTCATTTGTTTAAGTCATTCGGCATGCTCCAAGACTCTGTGACAGTTTTAGTTTGAAGAAGCACTCATTTTTGTGGATTTGTTTTGTTTGTTTGCGTGTGTTCATCCACAGAGACGCTAAAATTATTACAACGGTTATTAAAGTCACCGGGCTGCAGGAAAATCCCAGTTCTTGTCCAAAACAAGGATGATGTCATCGTCACAGCCTCCAACTTCAGCTCGGAGAGGTAAGGACAAAGAAAAGGCGGGCTACGTGTGGGAAACTGGAACGACATGGAGCAAAAATGAAAACAAGTCAGACTTACTAACTTCAACAGAGAAGGTTGATGGAGAAATTAAACACACGTGACATGATGTCCACAAATAAAGAACTGATAAGATGTCTAACAGGAAGTACAACACATTTAATGAGAGTAGACATTTGTATGGACAAAATATATCGTGTTTACTTAAAGTGGCAATCCTGAAGGAATCTTTCAAACATTTGTCTGTTAAGTCGCCACGAAATGAGATTACAAAGTGGTGACTGAGCCTGATGACACTGACAGTATTGTGCTATTTATATATTTGCAAAATATAAAGAAATACATATTTATGAAGTTACTGCAAATACAAACTAAGCATTTCCTTCTCTTGCAGCCTCACATTTGAAGTGTTTAACTCACAAGACATGAATTGTCTCGTAATATGAAGTAGAAGGAATGCTTCTTCTCTAAAATAATTCTAGTAATAGTCTTTATTTTTCTTGGTGCGGGAACTTTTCACTGTGCCTTCAGATCACTGCTGCTCACAGAATGATGGAAAAAGGCCTCACGGTTAAAATAACAAGAGCTTCTTTTTGTTTTTTCTTGCTGCTAACAGTTTTCAAAATAAACATCATCGGTCGGAGTTTTTCCGATTAAACGCCGATATATTCTTACAAATTTTTCTTTTTAAATTTTTCATTCTGACAAATATTCTCCAAGGCAAAAGCGTGTAAAAAAAACACTTCAGCAACACCACGAAAAACTCCAGTTTTGCTGCTGCTTGTTGTAAACAAGTCGAACTTTGCTCACAGAGATGACGAAGAGTATAGATAGCTTACGGCTGTACAGCGGTAAGATCACTCACTCTGCTGCAAAGTCTAGAATCAAAACAGCAGATAGAGCGCTCGCTTTTTTTTACGGGTGCATACTATGTTTAATGCTTTGTTGCATGTTTTTGTACTTGAAACTCCTCTCTGTTGTAAAGTTAAATACTGAAGGACAAAGCAAAACAGAAAAATGTTCTGCCTGTGATTCATAGAAGTTATTTTATTCATTATATATTTTTTAAATTAATCAACTATCTGAATTTTTTTTTTGCCAAATATCGGAATCGGCCTCAAAAAAATCCATATCAGTCGGGCCCTACTGTGATGTGCAGGTGGTGCAGTTTGTATTTTTCATCTTCGCTTTAACTCGACACACCGAGCAGACGTTTTCTGACACTCTGGCTTAAGTTGGAGTCTTTGAATCGCTCTTTGACATGAAATGTTTTGCTGTTTAATTACAGTGCTGGTGAACCTGAATGGAGGCTAATATTTAACTGTCGTCCTTTTCTTCTCTGACTCCCACCCTCTCTCCAGGATGTGTCCAATTTTCCAGATCTCAAATGTGACGGGGGAGAACATGGACCTGTTGAAGATGTTCTTGAACCTGCTCTCCTCTAGGACCACCTTTAGCAACGACGAGCCTGCGGAGTTCCAAATAGACGACACATACTCAGTACCGGTAAGAATAGAAAACACACTCAGCTTGGATGTTGAAATTTTTTCCCCCCTAGCATTTTAGCACATGAAAGTGGTTGCCAACGGGGCCAGCTAGACCAAAGAGAACGGTTGACAGAAGTCCAAATGTTTTTAAGTCAAGCCCCGAGGGGCAGACGATGGCAGTTTTGAGTCTCTGCTGTTGCGGGTTAATACTGATGCAAAAGCCGATGTGTGTGCCAGCAGCAGCAGTGCCGTGTGAAAATGTGAAACACTGAACTGAATGTGTGCACTCACTGTCAGAAGCCCGTATATGTGGCTGTGGTGACATAACATGACAGCGTTTTGATTTGCGCAGCCCGGCTGTCGCTGCTTTTAACATCAGAGCTGAATATAAAGGCAAGGACATTCTGTACAATTCCACAACACGTAGTATTAAAAACAGGCAGCTGATGTAGTGGTGAAAATAGAGTTCACAGAGTTGTACTTTCTGAACATATAAAGAAGATTGTGGGCGGTGTGTGAAAATCCACGATAAGGTGTGAAGCTCCATAAATTTAACTTTCCACACTGACACTCCTCAGTAGAACATATTCAAAGAAAATACATCATTTGATGAAAAGTACACGCTCAAAACTACCGAGTATGACTGATGAAGACAGTCTCTATAGATAGCACCAAGAGAAGAGGAGCCAGATGCCTAACTTGTCCTCTCTTGACAGGGTGTGGGCACAGTAGTTTCAGGCACTACGTTACGGGGAATGATACGACTCAACGACACGCTGCTCTTAGGCCCGGATCCCCTCGGGACCTTCATCCCCATCGCCGTCAAGTCCATCCACCGCAAGAGGATGCCTGTCAGGGAGGTTCGCGGCGGACAGACGGCATCCTTTGCCCTCAAAAAGGTGTGTAGGGGAGATTTTGGTTAAATTACAGCCATTTAGGACATTTCAGACAACCTGACACAAAGTTTTAAAAACTTCTGAAAAGGATAATTATTCAAAAAACTTTGGGATGTATTATGAATAAGAATTAGTTTCCTAACTTTCTAATCAGTTTTATAATGCATGCAAATCCCAAGGAGTGGGAGCAGGTAGTGCTCTCATTCTGTTTTGTCTTCACTTCTCCCCAACTTCATTTTTTTTTCTTTTCTTCCTGCTGTTTTTTTTTTTTTTCGTCGGCACTTCATTTTGGTTTTTTTTCCAGATCAAACGATCATCTATAAGGAAAGGAATGGTGATGGTTTCCCCAAAGTTGATGCCACAGGCCACCTGGGAATTTGAGGCGGAGATTTTGGTGCTACACCATCCGACCACGATATCCCCGAGATACCAGGCCATGGGTTAGTCAAATCACGCAATCAAAAACATTTTACAGCAATTTGTGTGTCTTCTTTATGTCTTAGATTTGGCCACTCAGGGATAGTTATGGGCTGCAATGTGGTTCGGTGGTTAGCACCATTGCCGTGCAGGTAGAAGGTCGCCGGTTCACATCACCAGGGGGGCACCGGGGTCTTTCTGCGTGGAGTTTGCATGTTCTCCCCGTGCAGCGTGGGTTCTCTCCAGGTTCCTCCCACAGTCCAAAAACATGTTGAGGTTAATTGGTGATTCAAAATTGTCCATAGGTGTGAATGTGAGTGTGCTTGGTTGTCTGTCTCTAAGTGTAGCCCTGTGATAGACTGGTGACCTGTCCAGGGTGTCCTCTGCCTTCACCCTGAGTCAGCTGGGATAGACTCCAGCCCCCCACGACCCTAGTGAGGATTAAGCGGTGTATAGATGATGGATGGATGGATGGGATAGTTACACGTGCTTTTCTGGAAACTATATGGTCACTCTTAGAATTCCGACCAAGAATAACGGGATCACTCTTTCTCCATGTCATTAGTCCACTGTGGCAGCATCAGGCAGACAGCCACGATCCTGACGATGAACAAAGACTGTCTGAGGACAGGGGACAAGGCCACAGTCCACTTCCGCTTCATCAAGACCCCCGAGTACCTGCACTGTGACCAGAAGCTGGTGTTCAGGGAAGGACGTACTAAAGCTGTCGGCACCATCACCAAGGTACTGTCGCTTATCGCTGCTTCTCTATTTGATCTGTAATCGGTGTATTAAGTTTGTTTAATAATCGGTTAAATTACTAACACCAGCGTTGTCTGTGATTTTAGCTTCTCCAAGCGGTGAACACTCTGGCTGCTAAGGCCCAGCAGTCCAAGAGTCAGGCCAGTAAGAAGACTTCTAAAGAGGCCACAACAGCCAGTGAGGAGGCTGGATCGACAGCACGGCCGCCTAGTCCCAACACAGCACAGTTACCAGTAAGTGAAACAGTGCTTGGAGAACCTTTACCATTTGCTAGTTCTCAGGATTACAAGTGAGACATGAGAACATTTTGTGGTTAATAGATGCTCTAAGTGTTCAGCAGTGTTGTTAGTAAAAGATGGTGCAGTCCTTCCTAATAATGTTGAATTGTATTGAAACCATGTTTGAATTTAAGGCATTTGTGTATCATATTGGTGTATTTTTGCCATTTAAAATTCTATTTGAACTTTTTTCTTCCTGCTTTTTGACTGTCTTTGAACCTCAGTTGTTTAATTTCTGTCTCTGTCCCTTTTCCTCTGCATTCGGTTTCATCTCTTAATCACGTATTGACGACCATGATTTTTTCCCCAACAACCTTTCGTGTGTCGTCCTACCCTTCCCATAATACCCCGCCTTCATCTCCACCTCCACCTACATCAATCCACTCATTTGCCATCTGATCCTCACCCGCTTCTTTTCCTGCTGTTCATTGTCTTTCCTTTCATTTAACGCTTTCCTCTCCTGCTGTTATCTCCTTCCTTCCCTCCCTCCCTGTCTTGGCATGCTGCGTCAGACAGTGGCAGAGGAGGAAGATCTATGTAAAGATGGCAACAAAGAGAACAAGGTAAAGAAGTTTTCTGCAGACTGTTGGAGTCACGGTGGCGTCTCCTTAAACTTGGATGCTGTTTTTGTTCTTGTCGCCTCCACGTTCTAAACCGATGTTTTCTGAGCATGCCTACCATTTTACTGCACAGTCTTCGTTTATTTTCACAGTTTCACACAGTTATAGCTGGAAGCTGCTCAGTAAAACCACGCTGTTTCATTGCTGGCCACTGAGCAGCTTCTTTTTTCGCAATCAAGTGTTTACTGGCTACTTGCTGAACTGGACCCTGTGGTGTTTGATTTAGAAACAGTCAGGGTACTTACCTTTAGAGAGAAAACCATAATGGCTTGTGTTTTTTTTTTTCCCCTGGTTGTAGTGTAAATACTTACAATATTTTAATTTTAAGTCTTTCTATTCTGAAGTCTCACTGGTTAGTTAATGTTCTAGTGCAGGGGTCGGCAACCTTCAACACTCAAAGAGCCATTTGGACCCGAAAACACCGGGAGCCACAAAACCCTTTTGGCATTAAAAATGAAGACAACACTGCATATATGGTTTTTACCTTTATGCTATGTTTAAAAAAAAAACTATAGTGTTTAGTTATATATAGTTATGAACTCAATGACCTGCTACAGAGAAAACAACATTTTATATCTGCAACAAAAACGTTTTGAACTCAGCAAAAAAAAACAGACGATGGGTTGAAGGTTACTTTGAAATAAAAGATTCAATGTCTATTTGAGTCCTCCTAATATATATATATATATGAAATAAAAACCCAAACTTAAATTATCCACCTGCAGTAAAATAAAAATGCCGTCTGGTTGTCCTGCTGACTGCAGCTGGGACTGCTGACCAGACTGCTGACCGCCTGTGAGTGCTTTGGGACGGGAGGAGCTCACAGCAGCACCGCTGCTCGCTGAGGACAGTAACTGCACAACGATACGTGTTTTCACGTCAGTCTCCAAAACACCAGAAACAGTCGCTAGATTGCCCGTGCAGCGTGGGTTCTCTCCGGGTTCTCCGGCTTCCTCCCACACAGTCCAAAAACATGTTGAGGTTAATTGGTGATTCTAAATTGTCCGTAGGTGTGAATGTGAGTGTGCTTGGTTGTCTGTCTCTAAGTGTAGCCCTGTGATAGACTGGTGACCTGTCCAGGGTGTCCCCTGCCTTCACCCTGAGTCAGCTGGGATAGACTCCAGCCCCCCACGACCATAGTGAGGATTAAGCGGTGTATAGATGATGGATGGATGGAAGTTCACAAAAATCTTCAAATTTACTATTACATTTAAAAGACTAACGAACTAAAATAAAAATACATTTAAATTAAAATACTCATTATTTACTGTCCAAAGCCAAAAGGAGCCGCAGCAGAGGGTTGCCGGCCTCTGGTCTAATGGAAAACTTAACACCAGTTTTTGTATGTTAGACTTTCTGCAGAACTACAGTGAATTGTAATTTTGAATACAATTTGTGCAATTTCAGGGATTTTGCCAGTGTGACATAATGGAGGTTGGTCACCCCACATGAAGTAAATACAGTTTTACTGAAAATAATAACTGTCAGAAGTAAATCCTATTTAGTGAATAAGGACGTTGTGGGGGGTTTACCATCTCCATCACAAAATCCTGGCATAAACCCTGAGCTGTTTCCTTCCCCTTTTTCATTTTATTCCTTCCCCTTGAAGAAACTTTAACCTCGTCTTTATCCTCTTAGCCTTTTTAGTTAAAGGCACGGACGAGAAATGAATTCCCGTTTCTCAGAAATGCCTCCTAACTTCCGAACAGTTTTGGACCGAGCAGCTGCGTTCACTTCATCTCAAACCTGATTTCATGCGACTCACGGCTGGTGTTTGTGTCCGCCTGCAGCTTAAGTCGGGAGGTGGAGGACGCAGGAGAGGCGGTCAGAGACATCGAGGGAAAGGCCTGAACGCTGCGACAATCTCTACAGCCGTGCCCGCGGGAGCAGCAGGAACCGCCTGAAAGCACAACCTCAGCCCGTTATCATCCTCTCTCTGCAGGGAGGAACAGTGACTGCGCTGCCCTGCTGGTTGTCTGTCCCGTCAACACGTGTCTTTAACATAAAATGATTAACAATTTTGAATCGGGAGCGAATAATTTTTCACCCTGAGTCAGTTTACAGCATTATTGGTGTAATTACTGGTGGGCTGCAGAGGAGGGTTGTTTCGATTTGGTTTGAGTTTTACTTGCATTAACAATTTTTTGCAATTTGTAGGTTACATTATATGCGACGCTTTCTATTTTAATACAAATGTTTCAGGGGTGTTCATCTTGTTTGTAGTTCATCAGAACTTCCAGCAGAGGCATCAGTCACTTTCCCGGCCCCTGTCTTCAGCATTTTGTTTTCTTCCTATTCATAAACTTCTTTTCCTGATTCCTTACATGTTCTCCTCCACCTGACTGTCATTAACACGCCGAAATTCAGTTGTTTTAAAAGCTCCTCGTCACGGACACTGGCAGTATAAATTTGGACATTTTGGAATCGATTGAACTGAAAGGGAATGCCTCTAAAAAAAGCACGGATCGGATGGAGCTGGTATGTTTGTTCACTCCACCACTGGTTCTGGGTGGCAGCTGCAGTGGTTCCCCTGCCGAAGGTCTTTTTGATACGATAGAAATGGTGTTGATTATGTAAATGTTGTGGCCATTTAACAGAACAAGTTCTGTTCTCGCCGTGAAGTTGTTACGACTCACTTGTCATGAAGTACCCGAAGAACACAACAGTTTCTGTAATCCTGCAAAAGAAAGGTCATTTTATTGATTTTATACTGAACTGTTTCTCTAAGAGTTCCTGTTTTACTACATCGGGTTCATGCAGCCAACTGAGAAAAGCTCTGAACAGTCCTTCCTTTTTTTTCTTTTTTTTTCTCTCCCCCTCACACAAGTACTGTCTAGCGGCCAAGTGGCTTTTGTCGTGTTTTAATCGGGTTCAGGTCCTTTTGAACTTGTTTACTCTGTTTACTGGGAAAGAAGCCAAGCAGGCAGAGAGCGCTGAGCACAGTTCTTCCATTTAATCCAGTGCGATAACCAAATAATCCAAAAGCTGAATGCACAAAAAAACATTGCCTACTATTTTGATAAATTAAAAAAGTCACATGTTATCAAAAAGCCAAGAAAGAACAGGAAGTTTGGTTGCACTTTTACAATTTTAAAGCAACAAATTCCTTTCATATGACCAGAGATTTAATATTTTTTCTACGGATGTTTCTATACGATTCAGTTTTTGCTCAACACTAACACGACCTGGCCAGTTAATACTGCAGATCATCTCATAACATAAACCAACGATCACATCAAACTAATGCGAGCTACAGAAAACCTTATGTTAGCTACATGTTGGTTTTATCGAGTTGTTTTTTTCTTCCAGTCTCACATTCAAAACCCACGAACGCTGGTCCGTCTCTTTAGGGCTACACCCATTTTCATCCCAAGGATCCTAAAACTGAACTGCCAAAATATTTCTCCCCCCTCCTCCCTTTCAACTTTACCAATCGTGCATGGGTTTATTTTTGAAGAGACATGCTCTGTGTGTATATACAAACATGCAAGTTGTGCAGAAGAACTAAAAAAAAGAAGAAGATGCCATTTAAATTAAGTGGTGCCAGTTTGTGTTGTAAATCCTTTTAAATAAAGATGTTCTAGAAAACTTGTTTTTTTCTTTTGCTTCATATTTAAATCTGATGCTACGAGGCAGCTAATCCAAACAAGAATGAGGTGAGAGAGGGTTATCTTTTGGTGAAATTTAGCATCATTTTTCAGTTTCCATAATTGCCTCGGATGTTTATATGTCATCACTTTCAAATTAAGAGACGTCTTCTACATTAGCTCCTAACTGCCGGTGACCCTCCCCCCTCCCTTCACCACATCACTGGATGTTTACAACATTAAATTCAAATTACAGAACAAATAGCAGTGACATAAAGAACACAGGAGATTTAAAGATTAAAGGTTAAATATTCATGCAAAAGAGTTCAAGTTTGGAGGAAAGTTTTTTTTTTTCTCGTATCCATGCAAAAGCTAACAGCCGCATAAATAAATGTTTTTACATAATCGCTGAAATTACCGGGTGATGTGAAAGGAAATCGCAGAATTATCGCCGCCTCTGAGGTCCAACGAATGCAACTTTAAAGTCACAGGTTTCAAAGGTTCGATAAGATTTTCACATTAACATGGTGTCTGGGATGTTTAGTCTGTAAAAGGAGTTTATGGGTGAAGCGAAAGTGCAGAAAAAGGCAGAATCATTCCTGTTGTTTCTTATAAAATGTGCTTTGGGTAAACATTCCTGGAGAAGCTACTACCTACACCAGGGGTGCCCAATCCTGGTCCTCGAGAGCCCCTATCCAGCATGTTTTAGATGTTTCCCTCTTCCAACACACCTGATTCAAATGATCAGGATCATTATCAGGCTTCTGCAGAGCTTGATGATGAGCTGATCATTTGAATCAGGTGTGTTGGAAGAAGGAAACATCTAAAACTTGCAGGATTGCGGCCCTCGAGGACCAGGATTCGACACCCCTGACCTACACCAACATGAGTTAACAACATAACTCATCTGTCCTTGTCATTCATCTTTCTCCTAACCTGCAGCTATCATCTTTCCCCCTCATTTCCTCATATTGCTGCCTCCTTTCTAACTCTTGTAATCCAAATCTATCTTCAATGGTACCGATCATTAGTGTGAAGTAAGTCTAGCATGTCTGTGAAGACTCTCAGTCATCCAGGTCGTGGTTATTCTGGTAGATTAATCGTAGCAACTGGACTTGCTTGAGTTCCTTGAAGATGTTCCACCTCTCATCCAAAAGGCTTCATCAGTTCAGAGTTGGAAGTTCCTGATACTTACATCCTTGAAGAGCCATGAACACCTGAGTCTCTTTGTCTCTACGTATGCAGCGAGGCCACGAGTTTTAAAACCACAAACTCTCCTTGCAGCTTCTTTTGCATGTTACAACCTGCACAGTGCTTTACAGTATCTCATCCATACGGGATGCTTCTTTTCACTTCTTTTCAAGCCGTCCTCTAAGCAATCTCTGAATATGTGTATCAGACTGTGTTAATAGTCATTGCAGAATACAAATCCAGCCCATCGCCGGCCCTTTGTTTAAAATCTCTCACCCCTTTGCCTTCTGCCCCAGTGGTATTAACAATTAACAAAATGGTTTTCTGTCTTTCCAGAGAATTCTCAGTGTTTCTCAAGAAGGCATTATGCTGGGAAATCTCCTCCAAATCCTTTTTACCCACTAATTAACGGCTAATTTCTCCCATTTTCTACGAGCAGAGCTAATGCTGGAAATGCCACACTGCATATATTATCTTGAATGATGTTCAATATATTATTTTTTTTCAGAAGTGATGGCGCTGTAGATCAATAGGCCAAACATCACTTATCAAATATTGAACGTATCATGGCCCTGTATATCATCATCATGGCCAGTCTTTCAGATCCGCTATTAGAGCCCGCGAAGCGATGAAATACATTGATAGCCTTCTCACACTGGGCTATAACTTTCCCCACCACCAACTGTCTGCAGCGTCTGCCTGCTTTTGGCTCACTTATTCCCAGTTAACATGGATAACACTGATTTGCCCACAAATCCTCCACAATCAACCTCCGCTGGGTCTCTAACTACACTCCTTTGCCTCTGCTGCTCGTTCTGCATTGCAAAGCATTTTTTTTAGCCATGTGTTCTCCTGTGGTACGGTGAGCTCCACAAAATACGCACAGATCAAGATGTGCTCTTAGATTAGTAGTAGCTACTTCCCCAGGGACTTGTTTTCCTAAATCTACCTGATCTGCATTGTGTTTTTTTTGGCTGAGGAAGGTCTTTAATTAAGTGAAATGACCTGAAAGTTTCATTGCAACAGTAACAGCTGGTCCAATTCTCTCAATGCTGAGGAAAGGCTGCTTCAATGCTTCCTTTAGCCTACGTAGGATACACAGAACCATTCTTTAGGAAAGGAAAGGAGACGATGCTGGTAGCAGCATTTCACGGGGACTGAGTTGTGTGATTATACAGTATATCTTCAGATCATTATCAGCATCCACAGGCCTGTCTTTGGGAAAAAAAGGACTTACAAGATGATGTTCATTCAGTCAACACGGCTGAAACTTAAAAACAAAAGAATGTTTTATGCCTAATACATCCAGCAATTAGTTTCATACAATCATAATAACAGTATGCGCGAGCAGCCGTTCTCAATGTGACATTTTGTTCCACTTTTGTCACTGGTGACCTCCACGTTTATGTAGCCCGCACAAAGAACGCACAGGGGAACACCAACATCAGCAACATCTGTCGCATAATTATGCAGCCTAGTGTAAGTGCAGATGGAATCTCTGAGCACTATGGCTGTCGTTTCCTCAAGGGGACGCCAGGCAGAATGCATCAATGGCACCACCGCACTCTGAAAACTACC